CACATTCCCTTTTCATAATCCACCCCTCTTACTCAGAAAAATTCTCTAAATATCTTTCCTGTTCTTTTCACCGTTTCCTTTATTGGATAAAACAAAAGTCGATGGCGACTCTTGCTAACCGCAACATTTGCGATAAAACGCAAAACTAGTAAAGTCAGTTCTCTCACTGTATTATAGAACTGGAGACTCTTCTGGGGAATATGACACTTAAAGTGTGGTTATCTTAGGGATAGTTCATATTTAAATTCTTTCATTGTTTGACTTGCCTGATTTATTCATAAAGGGTGTTTGGGTTATTCTTGTATAGATCTTATACCCGGATCTGGGGCATTTAGGTAAGTAGCAATAGATCATGAAAATTGTACGGCGTACACCGATATGGTTAAAGCGATGACTACATTAGTGCGACACATTAGTTGGTACTAGTGTCCCTTGAGTTAAGTCAAGGAGAATGTTGGGCTTCCGCATGGTATCATAAAGCACTAACTGACTTTAGAACCTTAGTTGACACAACTTAGCCATTAGAAAGTAGCGAGATAGTCGTCTTTGGTGCAGACTGAAGTTGGTTGATACTCGATGCTACACTCATTGAGGTCGGACTCTCGAGATATTTCAGTCATAAATCAGATACTTGAGCTGAAACAATGCCCGAGAGAAAGATCGGTGATATTGAGACTTCTAGAACTCGGTTACTTATTTTAGGACAGGTTGAGCCAACTAAAACCTCAAGAGGGTACTTACCTACAAACTCTATGAAAGCTTAAACCTAAGGCCTTGTGTGTTTTGCTTGTGTATGATTAAATTGTTCGAACATAACATCATGACATCATGTTATATCATTTTTCTTAACCATTTCAAGGATCTCAAGGGCTTGTAATGTAGGTTATGATGACCAAAAGTCTAGCAATGGGCAAGGGGATTTATTTTCCTCTAGCCAATACCTTCAAAGCATAATGTCTTGATTCAGTAGTTGGGACCCACTCGACATGGTGAGCTTGATTCTCGTAGAAGGACGTTCAACGATACGAAGCTCTTCATATCGAAGTTGCAGTCAAAATTCAACTTTTAACATTTTCTTGTATTTATCCCACGAGATCCTTGAAAACATTGCATCCACATATCATGTATGTCATTACATAACAAATTTACTTAAGACAGGTTTCTCATTTTCTCGCTGTTTATTTCAGTAAGAAAAATGACTCTCAAACAGACCGTCTAAGACCTCCAAGCTCAAGATGCTCAGTTCCAAGAAATGTTCCTGAACCTATCCAATGGGAAAGAGGAATTGAAAGCACTCCTCACTGAGAGCATGACCAAGAAGAATCTTGAAGACAACAGGGATGACTAGTTGGAACAATTACAAGCTGAGATAGCAACGATGAGAATCCAGATGATGGGTCAGAAGGCTCTTATCCAAATTTCACTTCATCCCTTTTGCCCTTGTTCTTCACAAATTGGTTGGCATACTCGAGTCCTTGAACATTTCCAGCACACTTACCAAACTTGATAATCTCATCAAGTACATCAGAACTGCTGTTAAGCATTCTTATGGACTTGGTCATACTATCAAGTTGTGAATTTAGCTCAAGCACTTTATCCTTCAGGTCAGAGATGGTAGACAGATGCTCTACATTTTCTGCCTTTAATTGGGAAATAATTTTCTCTTGCTTTTCTTCCAATCAGCTTGTCTCTTGACTTCTGAGGCACAATTCCTGGTAAGCCTCAGCAAGCTCATCAAAAGATGGATCTTCACAAACTGAATCCTTATCTGAGACACAAGTCTCATTCAAGGTTGTGACCTGTTTGGTCCTTTCCTCTTCATGATCACTTTCGCAGTCTCTGTCTGACCATGACATATAAATACCTTTCGCCTTTCTCTTGAGATAAGTGGGACATTCAGCTCTTATGTGTCCAAAGCTTTCACACTCATGACACTGAACTCCTCTTCCTTAATTGATCGTTTCTTTAGGTTTGTCCCTTCTTCCAAAATCCTAACTTTTGTTGATGTCAGAGGACTTGTCAAAAGGCTTATTCCTTCCATTTGATCTTAACTTCCCTTCCACTTTCTTCAACACTTTGTTGAATTGTTTTCCAAGCAACACAATAACATTGGACATTCCTTCTTTTGTATCAAGGTCACACTCATCTTTTGAGTCTTCAACACTAGAGGCAAATGCAATGCTCTTCTTCTTTCATGTTTTTCACTTGTCCCTAATTCAAAGGTTTGTAGAGATCCCATGAACTCATAAACCTTCATGTTGTTTACATCTTGGGATTCTTCAATGGCAGTCACCTTTATGTTAGACCTCTTTGGAATATATCTGAGAATCTTCCTTACCAACTTGGCTTCTGACATATTTTCTCCTAGGACACCAGATGCATTGGCTATCTTGATGGTATTCATGTGGAAGTCATGGACACTCTCACCCTCCTTCATTCTTAAGTTCTCAAACTGAGTGGTAATAATTTATAGTCTTGATGTCTTCACTTAGAGGTTCCTTCATGAGCAGTCTTCAAAATCTCCCAAGCTTCTTTGGCAACAACACAGTTTCTTATCAATTTAAAGATGTTATTATTCACTTTATTGAATAGGGCATTGAATGCTTTAGTGTTTCCCTTTGATTAATTTTCATCAGTATCATTCCAGTCTTCCTCGGCCTTCACAACATCAGTAACCTTCCCATCCGGACCAACAACCTTTGGTGGATCCCATCCCTTGACCATTGCCTTCCAAGCCTGGCTTTCCACGGACTTTATGAAATACAGCATACACGCTTTCCAATAATCATAGTTTGTTCCATCAAGAACATGTGGTATGTTCCCAAATCCTTATTACTTGTTCATTGTACCAGAAAGTAACTTTCCTAAATCTCACTGAGAGTCAGAGCAGGATGCCTGTTCTGATACCAATTGAAATTCTGGCATTCAGATCATATATGTCCTAAAAGATATCGAGACACCTTTCTTTGAATTTGCACACAATGAACAATATGAGTGATAGTGCAGAAAAATAAAGAACACACAGAATTGTTAACCCAGATCGATGAATCAACGCACCTACTATGGGGGCTACCAAGTCAGGGACCAAGTTAACTTGATAGTATCAATTCAAAGATAAACTCCCCCTTTTACAACTTATCACTTAATCACTACCCATTCTTAACTTCTACCTAAGACTCGCCTAGGCATGAGACCCTTCTCAAATCCCTTCCAATCACGGTCATAGTGATCGAACAATTCTTAACACTTAGAACAAACACTGAAGTCACACTTTAAAGACACACCATCATTCATCGCTTCAAAGCTTTGGAATGATTGACAGAACTTACAACTCAAAAGTATAGCCCTACTCTTTCATTAATATGATAATCTAGAGGTTCATAATAAGCACACAAATCCTAATCAAAATACACAGTAAGTTCCACACTAAAACTAGGTTAGTGACATTTTATTTAAAGCCATCCTCTGGATTGGATTGGGCTTTACAATTGTATCAAATCAGTTGCTAAAACTCAGCAGAATCTTCTGCACACGTTAGGGTTTCAATCATTAGTTTCCTAAATTGTCTCCTAATTTTGAAACTAAGAATGTTCCTTGTATTCAGCTAGAATCTTTATCAATCTTCAACTTGTGCGCAACAGGAGATAACATAATATTTCCAAAATATTTTGCACGTGTAACAACTAAAATATCTAATAGTCCATTTGTACAAAATTATGATGTTGAAAGACTCTTAAAATACTCCTAAAAGAAATACTAAACCATGTATTAACTCACAAAATATGGGTTAACACACCCCCAAACTTAAACCATTACATGTCTTCAGGTCATGCGATAAGCAAGGACAAACAAAACATTTTTCTATTTGACCACCCCTTTTTTTTTAACAGAATCAATATTTTTCAAACTCATAAATCTCCTCAAGGGACTTTTCCAAATAACAGGCATAACTCATTCCTAAGGCACAATCTTAATTATGTGTGTTCTATTTGGATCATTAATACACCCTGTCACGATCGAACTTTTTTGTCAAGTTAGCCGGCCTAATTTTTAATTTTGGTTGTTTTTTCCTATGGTCCAACAACTTACTTTTCAGCTTCAGCAGGGGGTTTAACTTCTTATTCTCAGACTTTCACACCTAGGACCACACATGCATTTATTCAAAAGATTTATTTGTAATTGCCCCACCTTTTCACCTGACAGGATCTCACTTATAATGAGTCCAACCTGTTAGTAATGGTGAGAACAACTATTGTTCCTCCAGACACAGGCACATGAACTTATTCTAAAAACTTGCTCCTCCAGTTTCGGACATGGGAGATGTTCCTCCAGTTTCAGGCACATGAAATTTATTTGAGAAGTTCTCCTTCAAAACTTCTATTGCACACTTTAGTGTGCTTACTTATCAAGCATATGCAATGTGTCTAGAGTATTTTAGTCATTAAACATATATGCTAACCACCTTAACTAAACCTTACATTTAGTTCCTATTCCATAATAAAAAACAATTAAATCTTAACTAAAGGTTGCCTACTTCCCATACTACTAGAGTCACGACAGGGGCTACCAATAACAAAATATTAGTGCAATAGATAATCCTCAAATCTTTGTTTCCTATATTGTTAAAAGTCCTAATAGAATTCTTTCTAAATCTTTCTAAGTTGGTCTATCTTAAAGAGGGTATCAGACTCAGATTGTTCTTTTTTTATTCTATTTTTAAGCATAAAAATGAAAACAAACTACTTAAGCAAAGAAACAATTCATTAATTATAAAGGTCGTAGCAGCCATTCAACAAGATAACAGGAAAAATAAAAAGGTTGTAACAGCCTACCAGACAACAAAACAATAGATAATCTAAATAACAAAACAAAGTATGATATGATGGTGATGATAGGTAGAGTCACGACTATATCCTCCACTCCCCCTAACTTAAAGTAGGGGTAGTATCCTCACTATCAGCAGATAGGGTGGGGCATGTGTGTTTTCTCTAGCTTATTAGCTAGGCTTTAAGCATGTTTCTTTTACGGATGAGGTATTCTTTCTTTTTATTTCTAGCCTCCTTTAGGGAAGGCTCAGGGAGTGATGATTTCTTTTCAGTAGTTTTGGGTGCCTCATAGACGACTTTAAATGTGATTGTTGTCTGCACCATGAATGACTTGACCGAAACCTTCTTTAAGGGGGATTTTGGCTTGGCTGAAGAAACTTTCTTCTTAATCTTTTTGGCTGGGTCTGGAGTTCTGACTAACAGTTTTCTTCGTCTTTTCAGGAGTGACCACATGAGTCACGTCAGCACCCTACTCTTTTGGAGATTCATCCAATTTCTCCAATTTGTATGAGCTCTCGGATGAATCTTATCATTCTTCTTCATCATTCTTCTCCTCTTCATCCTCTACCTCAGCCTTCTCTGCTTCAGCCTCTCTTACCTCTATTTCCACATCCTCTGTTCTAGATTTTTCTTTTTCATATTTCTCTTCCTCCACAGAGTCGTCCTCAGTCATGTCATTTGTATCCTGCATTTCAGCATCGTCGTGTCTCTTCTCTTCCTCTTCAATTTTATTCTCTTTTTATTCTTCAACAACTTCTTTGTTTACTTCCTCCACTGCCTTCTCAACAATCTCTTTTAAAACTTTCTTTTTGGATTTCTCCTTTTCAGACGCTTCTGCTCTCATCTCCTTCTTATCCTTAGCTTCCTACTTCAGCAACTTATTCAATGTTTCATCATCATCCCCTTTTTCATCAACTTCTTCATTTTTCATTGGTATTTATTCCTCAACATTCTTTTCACCCATGTCATTCACAGTCACTTCCTTCTTTTCAAGCTTTTTGGCTCTCTTTCTTAGTTTTTCAAGAGAGCCATCCTGAGGCACGTTTGTTGTTGACGCGCCAGGAGCCCCTACAAACTCAGTCCTCACTTGCTTCTTTCCCTTTTCACCAGCTTACTCTTCTCTTCAACTTTCCTTTGGTCCTCTTCAACTTCCAACTCTTCTAATATATGATCAGGAAAAGTTGGGACCAGCTTATCAATATAGACCATATGATTGACTTTCAGCTCCCATTCAAACTTTTCTTTTTCAAACCTAAAGAATTCCCTTTGATCCTTTTGCATCTGTAATATTACCTTCAACAACAAGCTATCAGTTTCTAAATTGATCTCCACTCCAATAGATTCATGTCCTGCATATGCATGCCTCTTCCTCATTCTTGGTTTCATCAGGGTCTGCAAAGTACTTTTATCAAAGGCTGCCTAAGGATTACAAATCTTATTCGTCTCCCTTGGGTGCACCCCATGTTTCCTGCACAACGCAATGATTAACCAAGAGAAGTACAACATGCCTTCCTTCTTCTTGAAATGTGATTGTATTTCATGAGTTATTAACTTTCCACAATTATTTTGTACCCAGTAGTAATGTCGTGTAACATTGTCAGCCTTTCCTTGTCAACTGTTTTGTTGTGAGTGGTTAGTTTGAGAGAGTTCTTGATGAATTGGTACCAAGACTTGGATTCAGGCTCCAGGTCCATTCTTTTTATAGTCTGTTCTCCTCCTAACTCCAACCAAGCAGTTCCCATGTTGCACAGTGATTGCATGTACACATCAAACTCATCATCATCGGCTTTCTTCAGAATCTCTTGATACTGATCTTCAGTAATCTTCAACTTAAAGAACATATTAATAGTTCCCCAGAGTAATAAACACATACCCTTGTCACCATCGCTTCATCCCTTTTGTTGTTGGAGTCTTCCAGATTGGCGTAGAACTCATTCACCAATTGTGTTTTGTAAGGAAGAGGTTGCTGGAAAAACTTAGTCCACTTCTTGAGTTTGATCATTGTACCAATACTTCTTAAGAGCCCTATGTTCTCTTCTTCATTATCCAAAGTAAAGCAACGTTCAGAAAACATGCACATTCAAGAAATAATCTCAGTGAATCTCTGTCTAGCATCACCATTGATGAATACCTAATAGTTAGATCCCTCCCCATCAAATATTTCAACATCAAGAATGGAATTCTTGCGAGCACATGTTTTGGTTCGGCCCTGAGAGTAGGTTGGCTTCATGATTTTTTTAGGGTTTGAGAAGAAAATCAATTGTGGGTTGAAAGGGTTTCAGAAAAATGGCAATGAAGGATGGAAGTTTTTAGAAGTTATTTTGGAATAGTTTGAAGGATGAGGATATGATGGAAAGTTAGATGATGAAGGGAAGTTGAGAGGTTTGTTTTGAAAATGATTTGGGAGAGAGAGAAAAAGGTGAGTGTAACGTATAAAAAAGAGGAACAAATTTGAAACTGGTCAAAAAGAGAGAGGGTGTAATCAGTCTAGGGCATGGTGAGGGTTACTTTTTGCAATGATTCCCTATAAAAACATGCAACAGTGAAATAATGCCAATATCCCTTGCTGATGTCACGGTGTAGAGATACAGTCTTCCTACGCGCACGTGGGACTTTCTCTCTCCACTACACTTTTTTCCTTACTCACGTGTCCCAAGACTTGCCTCATTCATGATGTTCTCAGAAGTTTTAGTAACAATAATTGCCTTCTTTTCTTGTACTTAACCTCTTCATCTTTCTCAGTCATGATAGGACTCATCACAGACTCTTTCCCACTTTATTACATCAATCACATCATCTGAAAAATAAATAAACTAAAACGTGAAAGTTAAGTTGGGCTGCCTCCCAGTAGTGCTATTTTATAGTCTTGTAGCTTGACTATAGAAAAATTCAAGAATATCCAAGCGAATTCATAGTGATCCTTACGTTGTTTGAGGATACACCATGATACGTTTTTACTCTTTTTCCATTCACTTTGAATGTTTCACCTCTTCTTTCGTTCAACAAATCAACAACCCCGTGAGGATAAACTTTTATTAAGTTTAAGGGGCTGGACCATCTTGACTTCAGCTTTCCAGGAAAAAGTTTTAGTCTAGAGTTGAACAAAAAAAACAAGTTGTCCTTCAATTATTTCCATTTTTAGACATTTTCTATTATGCCACCTCTTGGTCTTTTATTTATAAAGTTCTTTTCATAAGAGAGCAACCTATATTCCTCAAGCTCATTAAGTTGAAGCATGCTAGCTTGGCAGCTTCAACTAAATTAAAATTCAAAGTGTTTGCTGCCCAAAAAGCCTTATGCTCTAACTCAATTGGCAAGTGGCATGCATTTCCATAGACAAGCCTATAAGGAGACATGCCTAAGGGTGTCTTATAAGTTGTTATATATACCCACAAATCATCATACAAATTCTTAGACCAATCTTTCCTAGAGGGGTTGACAACTTATGGTAGTATGGCGACACAACACTACTGATAGTGACAACTCCCTGCGCTCTGAGAACATGGACATAGTAAAAACAAATACTATGCATAATCAAAGACCCGCTAGGTTGACACACCTAGGCAAAAAATAAGGGCTTCCCGGCGAACCAAAAGGGTTCGGGCAAAAATAAGGGATGAAAATGAAAAAATCTGTACACCCGGCAAGTCGAAAACCTGAAAAGGCGGCTCGGGCAAAAAAGGGTATCCCGGTGGACTGAAAACCCGAAAGGGCGGTCCAGGAAAAAATTAGGGATCAAAGCGTACGACTATGTCCCGTCATCTCGTCACTTGCCTACCAGAAGAAGATTTGTCAAATCGGCAGTTATCGAGACCTCCACAGGTACCTTCTCCCACAGAAACTGGGGCAATAGGAGTTGTCCAAGCGATCTAGCTGCTATGTCCACCAAGGTACCAAGGTAAGTTCAGCTGAAGAACATGACCAAGATACCTTCACTCCCCGCAGAGTAAGACAAGATTCAGTAATACTCTCCCTAAGTAGAGTTGGTCTCTCGTCAGCCCCGAAAAGGCACAATATCTCCAGCAAGTCAGGAATACTCTCCCCCGAGCAGAGTTAGCCTACTGTCAGCCTTAAGGAAGTTGGGTATTCCCAGAAGATCTCAACATTCCCCAGCGGAGTATACAGATGTTCCTCAGCAAGCATCCCCGGCAGTCTTAATATTCCTCGATGAAATATAAGATTGTTCCCCGGCGGAATACAGACACCCCAGTGGAATCAATCTCCCCAGTACAGTCCAAAAGTTTCCCCAGGAGAGTTGAATCAATCTTCCCAGTAGATTCTGGAAGCTTATCCCCAGTAGATTCTGGAAGCTTATCCCCTGCAGAGTACATATCTCTCCCCGACTTTATTCAGAAGGTTATCCCCCACCAGAGCCTATAACTGGGTTATCCTCAGCAAATTACCACGGAGAGATCGTCCTCGGCGAATTTCTTCCTATTCCCCAGCGGAGTTCATCAAATTCCCAAATATAACTTATCAATGGAATCCCCAGCGGAGTCCTCATTAAAATCTCAGCGAAGCATCTCTTCTCCACAGAGTAATTCCCCGCAGAGCAATCTCTTCGACAAGTTTATTCCTCAACAGAGTCATCTTCTCCTACCGGTTTATTCTTGCAATCATCATCCCCAGTGGAAACGAAGAACTCTACTCTTCAACATCAGCCCAGGATTTAACTTCCCGGCATTCGTCAAGGACTTACTTTCCCAGACGAAAACACATTTATAAACATCACATTATCATACATCATGATACGTGCATATACGCATCATACGACACTATCTCATTTATTTTTGAACATCATGACATCATGCATTTCATACATCATGACATTGCATACAACTGATGTTTTGCCTTTTCAGGAAAAAGGTCAATCCAAAGATGATTACTATCAACTGTCGCAGTTCCAGATTCGATACCTGTATCTAGCCAGGGCATATATGTGAGCAATTGATTGTAGATTCGATACCTGCATCTAGCCAGGGCATATCTGCATGAAGAGTTTAGAGATTTGATACCTGTATCCAGCCAGGGCATATCTGTAGACGACCAGTTCCAGATTCGACACCTGTATCTAGCCAGGGCATATCTGTGAGCAATTGATTGTGGATTCGACACTTGTATCTATCCAGGGCATATCTGCACAAAGAGTTTAGAGATTCGATACCTGTATCCAGCCAGGGCATATCTGTAGACGACCAGTTCCATATTCGACACCTATATCTAGCCAGGGCATATCTGTGAGCAATTTATTGTGGATTCGACACCTGTATCTAGCCAGGGCATATCTGCATGAAGAGTTTAGAGATTCGATACCTGTACCCAGCCAGGGCATATCTGTAGACGACCAGTTCCAGATTCGACACCTGTATCTAGCCAGGGCATATCTGTGAGCAATTGATTGTAGATTCGATACCTGTATCTAGCTAGGGCATGTCTGCATGAAGAGTTTAGAGATTCGATACCTGTATCCAGCCAGGGCATATCTGTAGACGACAAATTCCATATTCGATACCTGTATCCAGCTAGGGCATATCTGTAGACGACCAGTTCCAGATTTGACACATGTATCTAGCCAGGGCATATCTGTGAGCAATTGATTGTAGATTCGACACCTGTATCTAGCCAGGGCATGTCTGCATGAAGAGTTTAGAGATTCGATACCTGTATCCAGCCAGGGCATATCTGTAGACGACAAATTCCAGATTTGATACCTGTATGCCAGGGCATATCTGTAGACGACCAATTCCAGATTCGATACCTGTATCTAGCCAGGGCATATCTGTGAGCGATTGATTGTAGATTCGATACTTGTATCTAGCCAGGGCATATCTGCATGAAGAGTTT